TCTAAACCAATCACTCAAGATGGCTTATAAATATCTTGAGCATATGCAGATTTCTATTTTTTGAGTCTTTATCATTTGTGGTGTATATGCTATAACCATAGATCATATGTTGACAACATAACGTGTATGTGGATTCAAAGAGTACTGTAAGTCCAAGTAGTGTCACTTTCATGGTGGCTAGAACTTTACCACCATATCATTCTAAAAGATTTGATTTTCTGTTTCTCGTAGAATTTAAATAATTGTATTTAACTCCAAAGATAAATCCAAATTTTAACTCTTTGATCATGTAAAAGTTTGCACGCGACATTCCAAAAGAAACATGGTTGGACACGAAGTTTGAACCGTACGGCTCAGACAATTCCGGTGTGGAAATATCTTTCGGCACTGAGTTCATGAAGCACAGTCTCTACCAGCTTTCTCCTATTGAGGTACTTTAATTTATCATCATCATGATAATAAGTTGATAATATTTATATGGTTAATTTTGATGTTGCGTGAGGATCTTAATTTAGGATCTTGAGCTTGGATTGCTGCTAAAGAGATCCGGATCATTGTTTGTGACCAACTTATCGAAGATCGAGAACTTTACGGATGAAGGGTATGGATCAGTTCCTCGAGCTTACATTGTTTGCAAAGAGGACAAAATCATTCCAGAAGAACATCAACAATGGATGATCGATAATAATCCAGCAAATTTAGTGATAGAGATGGAAGAGACTGATCATATGCCAATGTTCTGCAAGCCTCAACTACTAAGTAACCATCTCTTGGAAATCGCAGATAAATTCGCTTAAATTATCCTTTGATGAAAATGTATTTGGATATTTAGTGGGTGTACTAAAATGGATATTTCTAAAACGTTCAGACTTTATTTCTTTCTATTATTTAAATGATAAAACTAATAGTTAATGTGTGTTGGTTTAGCATTCTCTGGATCTCAGAGAACGAACAAAAACAGGTCCCAAAGTATTTATGCACAAATCAATTCTAACTTTATCAACTCATCTTTAACTCAAATAACGTATAAATATCAGGTAATTGAGGATATATATTACAAGTTCAGATTTAAAAAGATGAAATAATTTTAGAAAATGAAATAATGTTTGTATCCAAGGAGTAGTAGTGGGCAAACGGGAATATTGGACTGGATTTCACGGGAACGGGACGGGAACAGGATTTCTGGAATTAGAAAAATATGTCATATTTATGTCCCATTTAAAATT